CGCATATGATTCCGCGATAGAAAGATCAGAGGTCCGAGCGAACCATGGCAGCTGGGTACCTGGACATTGACGACAAGCTTACTCAGGTTAGGGACGATGCTGCATCGGCCCGCCTTGCAGACGGACACCAGAACACAAGAGCTAAGGAGCTGTCGCTTCTTGGTGCTTGAGCAGTGCCAGTCCGGATCTGGATATCATGCGTCTTAGCAAGTGTGCGTCCTAAGACTACGATGCGCACTTCTTTTTCTGCTCGCATTCTCTCTATAGGCGATGTTTTGCCGGGATTGGCTGCGATGCCTGTACCTCGGCTCCAACGTGGGCAGTTGCTTTGAAGACTGTTCACGAATCCAAGCCGCACGGCAACGAACTACAGCAGGAACTTATCTGCAGGCGAGAGACCCACGTCGCGATCTGCGTTGCCTTGGATGCGAGGTACTACCACGACAACAACCACGCCGACAACCACAACAACAACAACAACAACAACAACAACAACAACGACGACAACAACAACAACAACAACAACAACAACAACAACAACAACAACAACAACAACAACAACAACAACAACAACAACAACAACAACAACAACAACAACAACAACAACAACAGTAACAACAACAGTAACAGCAACAGCAACAGCAACAGCAACAGCATCAACAACAACAACAACAACAACAACAGCAACAGCATCAACAACAACAACAACAACAACAACAACAACAACAACAACAACAACAACAACAACAACAACAACAACAACAACAACAACAACAACAACAACAACAACAACAACAACAACAACAACAACAACAACAACAACAGCAACAAGAACACCACCACCACCACCAACGACAACAACTACAACAATCGCAACGGCAACGGCATCAACAAGGGAGGTGCTGTCGCTACCGGTACTGGTTGGTTCTACGGAAGCACAAAAAAAGCAAAATTACCCAGGCCTGGTTCCCCCCGAGCCGTCAGCGCCACCTGACGGTCTCGGAGGGATTCCTAGCAGTCTCGGACCTTAGTGTGGACCACAATGCGAAAGTACAGGTGGCGATGCCTGCGCTCCGCACGTGGTCCCTTACCTTAAGGTGATTGCAAAAATGGCAGAGCAGACACAAAAAGTACTTTAGCGTTTGGCCGCGAGGCGCACGGAAAGGGCGAAAAGGCAGACAACGGTGCGACAGTCGGCCCTGAAGATAGCAGAGTCCTATACTGGAGCATGCACACGAAAATTAAGGAGCACCAAACGGCGAGAAATGGCACAAAATCAAAAATAGAAACATGCGAAAACCAGCCTTTTTCAACAAACCCGGAAACGGCAGATCTGCAAAACTATAGGCGTTTCGTATGTTTTTCCGAAAGCGCAGCCACGGCAGCAGTGCGTATACAGCTCAAAATCCCTTGTCCGGGGGGTCTGGGGGTGTCCGGGGGTTCCCGGAGACGGCTGTCCGGAGCGACGTCTTGGGGTGTCCGGGGGGGCCCCCCAGACACCCCGGACACCCCGGACACCCCCGGACGCCCCCGGACACCCCCGGACACCCCGGACATTCGCGACTTGGGCAGGAAGTCTTACTTCTTACACCCAGAGACGACAGCCGAGGTGCGAAACAGGGTCGGGCCCAGCAGGGTGAAGCAGACAGGGCTGCTTCCATGCCGACTCCAAGCCGCTTAAGCCCTGAGCGTTCGGCCTCCAAAGATGCAAGAGCAAGAGACGAGTTCGGTAGCGAGTCTTCGCTGTTGAAACACTTATATAGAGGGCTCCAGTTTTCCACAGGGTTAGAAGCAAGATTCCTGTAGCCTCAAAGTGCCGCAGCCAGTCGGGACCCAAGCACAAACACTGTCACAGTCATGATGTGCCGTCGCTTCCTTTGCCGGCACCTGAGCCGGGTGGCGGCGAAAGTTGAAAAGACCATTTGCCTACTCATAGCGGCAGGGCTTTCCACGCTGGTGGCAGGCCTCTGCGACAGAGCATCATGTTTAGTTTAGGCGGAGTGGCAGATGCGCTGTGCAGGCCTAGTTGCAGCGGGTGCGACACCGTCCGAGGCCGGCTGCAACAGACCTGCAAAGCAGATAAGCACATGTTTCAGGACGAGCGAGAAGTCCCAGTTCGCAACTCAGAGACGGATACCTTCGCATTCGCAGCAGTGCCGTCGCGCGAAGGCACCACCGCCTGAGGACATTGCCTGGGCATCGATACGACCAGTCTTGCAGAGCAGGGGGCCTAGATTTTGACCGTCGGAAACGCAAGTTGTTGTCGCAGCTTCCCTATGCCCTAAGACAGAATACCTTCCCCCTTTCTGCGAATCTTTTCTATGGCCTCAACCTCGAAACGTTGCAGCGGCCGAAGGAAATACTGCTGCACGCTCTTAAACGTCATCCTAAACCCCTAAAACTCTCAAATTAAACATCAATGCATATAGTATGCATAAAAATATTCTTTAGCTTATAAATGGAATTGAATCATACAGCAACGACCGAGGGAAATGCTCCTGTACGCTCTTAAATGTCATCCTAAACCCCTAAAACCCTCAAATAAAAAATCAATGCATATAGTATGCATAAAAATATTCTTTAGCTTAAAAATGGAGTTGAATCATACAGCAACGACCGAGGGAAATGCTCCTGTACGCTCTTAAACGTCATCCTAAACCCCTAAAACCCTCAAATAAAAAATCAATGCATATAGTATGCATAAAAATATTCTTTAGCTTAAAAATAGAGTTAAATCGTATAGAAAATACAACATAAATCCGGAAAAAGAATAATATGAAGAACACGAAAAATAAATCCAATGGTCACCAACTTGACCCGATGCCATTTTTTAGTTCATAAAGCAAAGTTTTCGAATGCTAGAAGCTGAGAGACGACGAAGCGGAAAGACTTAGAAGCTAAAAGTCGACAAAGTAGGACCTTCACAAGCTGAGACAAACCCGGAGGGACTTAGCGGCAGGGGCCTTAGAAGCTCGGACTTTGAGAAGCTGAGAGGCCGAAAAGGAAGCTGAGAGACTACGAAGCGGAGAGACTTAGAGGCAAGGGGCGGAGAAGCTCGGACTTTGAGAAGCTGAGAAGCCGAGAAGAGAAGCTGAGAGACTACGAATCGGAGAGACTGTGAGGGAAGGGGCTGGAAGGCTCGGACTTTGAGAAGTTGAGAGGCCGAGAAGAGAAGCTGAGAGACTACGAAGCGGAGAGGCGCAGGCAAGGGGCTGAGAAGCTCGGACTTTGAGACGCTGAGAGGCCGAGAAGAGAAGCGAGGGACTACAAAGCGGAGAGACTTAAAGGCAGAGGCTGAGAAGCTCGGACTTTGAGGAGCTGAGAAGCCGAGAAAAGAACCTGAGAGACTACGAATCGGAGAGACTGTGAGGGAAGGGGCTGAAAGGCTCGGATTTTGAGAAGCTGAGAGGCCGAGAAGAAAAGCTGAGAGACTACGAAGCGGAGAGACTTAGAGGCAGGGTGCTGAGAAGCTCGGACTGTGAGAAGCTGAGAGGCCGAGAAGAGAAGCGAGGGACTACGAAGCGGAGAGACTTAAAGGCAAGGGGCTGAGAAGCTCGGACTTTGAGAAGCTGAGAAGCCGAGAAGAGAAGCTGAGAGACTACGAAACGGAGAGACTGTGAGGCAAGGGGCTGAGAAGCTCGGACTTTGAGAAGCTGAGAGGCCGAGAAGAGAAGCTGAGAGACTACGAAGCGGAGACACTTTGAGGGAAGGGGCTGAGAAGCTCGGACTTTGACAGGCTGAGAGGCCGAGAAGCTGAGAGACTACGAAGCGGACAGACGTAGAACGAGAGGCTGAGAAGTTGGGACCTTGAAAAGCTGAAAGACGACGAAGCGGAGTGACGCAAAAGCAGGAAGTTGGCGGCGGGGACGTTGAGAAGCTGAGAAGCCGAGAAGGTGAGAGATCAGGAAGCGAGGCCTTAAGGCAGGAAGTTGCGGCGCAGAAGCTGGGACCTCGAGAAGCTGAGAGACTCGGAAGAGGAGATACTTAAAGGCAGGGTGTTGATGCTGGGCCTTGAGAAGCGGAGAGGCGTAGAAGGCGAGAGACTAAGAAATGGAGAGATTTGAGAGACTGCGAGCTTTGAGACGAGAAGCGACAAGGGCGGTGCCTCGATCGAAGATAGGCGGCAAGAGTAAATTGCGCTCGCGAGGTTACTGGAACCTGCTTTTGGTGGAAAACCTTTTCGAGGAAGAGCCCGAAGAGGCCGGAAGATACCTAGGAGGCACTAGATCAGTTATGGACCAATAATAAGGATGAAATATGCCAGGGCATCTTCGGCCGCATCACTTTACGCATGGTCCTGGACTTTTTGGCCTGGCCGCAGAAGCATTGTAAAGACTTTTAATATATGCATAATCCGCGAGGCGCAGGAGCTCCACTGCGACCCGGCCGCCATCCGGGTGCACCGTGGTGCCATCCAAGGGTGGTTGCAGACTCGCCTCGCCCGGCACACCCGGGAACGACGAGCGCTGCAGGAGGCGCAAAATGAGAGATAGAGGCCGTGGAGATGGAACCACCCATGCAGTGTCTGTAGGAAACGCCGAGCGCGAGGAAGGCCGCGAGGAAGGAGAAAGCGGCAAGGGCTAAGGCGAAAGCCAAGGCCAAAGCCGAAGCAAAAGCGGCGCGCGAAGCAGCGCGAAAGGCAGAGGCATGGCTGGAGGCGAGGACGGTTGAAGTCACGCTCACAGGGTAGCGTACCGATATCGGCGGGCAGGCCCGCAAAGCGGCCAAGCGCACGGAGAACCTCCGGCGCAAACGGCTGAGAGCCGAGCTGAAAGCCGGCGCTGGCCACGGCGACGCAGAGGTCCGGCCGCAGTGACAAGCAAAACGACTTAAAGCATTCGAGCGAGGCCAAAAGAAAGCTGGAAGCCATCAGAGAAAAACAAAGAGTGCAGAAGCGCACCTGGCGCGCCAAGAAGCGGGCCGCAGCAGTAGCCGCACTGCGACTCCAGGAGGCTCGGCTGTCAGGCGGCGAAAAGGAAGTCGAGCAAACCCGTGCGCAGGACCTGGCGGCTTTGAAACTACAGCTCGCGAAGTTGTGGGACCGGGAGCCAGACGAGCAGGCAGGTGAGGCCGGGTCGAAGCTTCAGCCGCACGTGACTTTGTGTAGGAGGTGCAAGTGCACTATGCGGCACACTACGAGACTCGGCGACAAGAGTCCGCAAAGAACAAAAATTTTGTGCAAGACGCAGTCCGAGGCGTGGACAACGAACGCGTCGAACTCAGAGAGAAAGAAGCCGGGGGAAAACCGGCGATATGCACTTGAATCCGTGCAGCCTGGAGGGCCCCGGAATGCATGCAGAGGAAGCAGAGGCTGGACCTCGCGATATGTGGCAGAGCCAGAAACAAGCATTCCGCGAGGCGGCGGCGAACGACGCCGCGACCGTGGAGGAGCGTAGTCAGAGAGAACAGTAGCAGGACTAGACTGAAGCTCGAAAGATTGCAAGGAGACCACGGCCATCCCCGCCCCGGAGGCGCGTCCGTAAGAGCGACGCCTAGGGTGTGTCCGCGACTGGGTAGGTGTGCCTACGCCCGCACTTGGACGGGCAGGAGGCAGTCGGGCGCAAGAAGTTGCAGTGAGAACTTGTTTTGTAACCATAGGAAGAGGTCTCCAACGGTAACAGCACCACAGACGAGGCGCGGAGGCTCGCATGACAGCTACGGAAGTGTAGCAGGGTCCTGTAAGGAGGTGGCGGAGTTCTGGCGTATGCTGGAGGTCCGGAGCAGTTGTGGGAACCAGGAAGGCTTCGAAAAGCGAGCGGCCCGCAGGAGCAAGACGACGAGGTAAATGCCGAGGACAGGACGCATAAACGTGACGGTGGGTGCTGCTCTGTCCCGGAGGAGACAGGCAAAAACATGCCAGAGGCAAGGCTCTCCTGTAGGCACGGAGAGAAAAGTGTGAGCATACGCACCAGGGCGAGTCGCTGTGCGCCACGACGGATGCGGAGGACCAAACCCAAAGGCAAAGCGCAGACATAATCCAGCCCTGTGAGGAGGCGGCACAACTGGCGCGCGCGAAGGCCGCGTCACTGGAATGCGACGACGACCCGAACTGGCGACCGCCGGAGCCTCAGAGCGGCAGCACAAGCACAACGACGCGCGCTGTCGGCAAGGACTGGCGGCTCGTCCAGTTCCGGCATCCGAAGGCGCGCTGCCGTGACAGTTGAGGGCACAAGCCGCTACACGAACAGGTCCTAGACGGCCACGACCGCCTATGCTCTGGCACGGGCACCGAGGGGTGAGGCCAGAAAAGAGTGCTAGGTCAGGGCAGAGGGGAGAAGCCGCTGCATAACAGGTCCGAAACGGCCACAACGTGGGAGTGGAGCTCCCAGAACATGCAGCGCCTCTGGCACAGAAATGTGAAGTCAGAAAAAAGTGCGAGGTGAGGAACAGCTGCGGAGTCTTCCATGAAGACGGGGCAGACAGGGCTGCCCCCTCGTCCGCAGTCAAGCCTCTTAAGCCCTGTGCGTTCGCATCACGTAGAAAAACCTACAAATCTAAAAATGAAAACCACAAAGTTGAGGGTACAGCAGCGGGGCCGGGCAGGGCAGGGCAAGCCGGAAATCCAATAAATCACCGGAAATCCAAGAAATCCTTGGCACCTTCGAAATAGCAAACCCTATTCCTATACCCTAAAGCTTTAGGATTTAGCGCTAAACCCTATTCCTAAACACTAAAGCTTTAGGATTTAGCGCAATTCTTTAGGATTTAGGCACCAGAATGGGCGGAACCCCAAGATCGGCCCCTGCCCTAATTAAAATGCACATTTTATGAACAGAATTTATCACTCCAAAATCTTTCTCTGATTTTCCAGAAACCTGCCGCCAAACCCTATTCCTAAACACTAAAGCTTTAGGATTTAGCGCTAAACCCTATTCCTAAACACTAAAGCTTTAGGATTTAGCGCTAAACCCTATTCCTAAACACTAAAGCTTTAGGATTTAGCGCTAAAACCTATTCCTAAACACTAAAGCTTTAGGATTTAGCGCTAAACACTATTCCTAAACACTAAAGCTTTAGGATTTAGCGCTAAACCCTATTCCTAAACACTAAAGCTTTAGGATTTAGCGCTAAACCCTATTCCTAAACACTAAAGCTTTAGGATTTAGCGCTAAACCCTATTCCTAAACACTAAAGCGTTAGGATTTAGCGCTAAACCCTATTCCTAAACACTAAAGCTTTAGGATTTAGCGCTAAACCCTATTCCTAAACACTAAAGCTTTAGGATTTAGCGCTAACCCTATTCCTAAACACTAAAGCTTTAGGATTTAGCGCTATACCCTATTCCTAAACACTAAAGCTTTAGGATTTAGCGCTAAACCCTATTCCTAAACACTAAAGCTTTAGGATTTAGCGCAATACTTTAGGATTTAGGCACCAGAATGGGCGGAACCCCAAGATCGGCCCCTGCCCTAATTAAAATGCACATTTTATGAACAGAATTTATCACTCCAAAATCTGCCTCCGATTTTCCAGAAATCAGCCGCCAAACCCTATTCCTAAACATTAAAGCTTTAGGATTTAGCGCTAAACCCTATTCCTAAACACTAAAGCTTTAGGATTTAGCGCTAAACCCTATTCCTAAACACTAAAGCTTTAGGATTTAGCGCTAAACCCTATTCCTAAACACTAAAGTTTTAGGATTTAGCGCTAAACCCTATTACTAAACACTAAAGCTTTAGGATTTAGCGCTAAACCCTATTCCTAAACACTAAAGCTTTAGGATTTAGCGCTAAACCCTATTCCTAAACACTAAAGCTTTAGGATTTAGCGCTAAACCCTATTCCTAAACACTAAAGCTTAGGATTTAGCGCTAAACCCTATTCCTAAACACTAAAGCTTTAGGATTTAGCGCAAAACCCTATTCCTAAACACTAAAGCTTTAGGATTTAGCGCTAAACCCTATTCCTAAACACTAAAGCTTTAGGATTTAGCGCAATTCTTTAGGATTTAGGTACCAGAATGGGCGGAACCCCAAGATCGGCACCTGCCCTAATTAAAATGCACATTTTATGAACAGAAGTTATCACTCCAAAATCTGCCTCCGATTTTCGAAAAATCAGCCGCCAAACCCTATTCCTAAACACTAAACCTTTAAGATTTGCGCTTTCAACCCTATTCCTAAACACTAAAGCTTTAGGATTTAGCGCTAAACCCTATTCCTAAACACTAAAGCTTTAGGATTTAGCGCTAAACCCTATTCCTAAACACTAAAGCTTTAGGATTTAGCGCTAAACCCTATTCCTAAACACTAAAGCGTTAGGATTTAGCGCTAAACCCTATTCCTAAACACTAAAGCTTTAGGATTTAGCGCTAAACCCTATTCCTAAACACTAAAGCTTTAGGATTTAGCGCTAAACCCTATTCCTAAACACTAAAGATTTAGGATTTAGCGCTAAACCCTATTCCTAAACACTAAAGCTTTAGGATTTAGCGCAATTCTTTAGGATTTAGGCACCAGAATGGGCGGAACCCCAAGATCGGCCCTTGCCCTAATTAAAATGCACATTTTATGAACAGAATTTATCACTCCAAAATCTGCCTCCGATTTTCCAGAAATCAGCCGCCAAACCCTATTCCTAAACACTAAAGCTTTAGGATTTAGCGCTAAACCTTATTCCTAAACACTAAAGATTTAGGATTTAGCGCTTTAAAGATTTAGCGCTAAACCCTTTCCCTAAACACTAAAGCTTTAGGATTTAGCGCTAAACCCTATTCCTAAACACTCAAGCTTTAGGATTTAGCGCTAAATCCTATTCCTAAACACTAAAGCTTTAGGATTTAGCGCTAAACCCTATTCCTAAACACTAAAGCTTTAGGATTTAGCACTAAACCCTATTCCTAAACACTAAAGCTTTAGGATTTAGCGTTAAACCTTATTCCTAAACACTAAAGCTTTAGGATTTAGCGCTAAACCCTATTCCTAAACACTAAAGCTTTAGGATTTAGCGCAATTCTTTAGGATTTAGGTACCAGAATGGGCAGAACCCCAAGATCGGCCCCTGCCCTAATTAAAATGCACATTTTATGAACAGAATTTATCACTCCAAAATCTGCCTCCGATTTTCAAGAAATCAGCCGCCAAACCCTATTCCTAAACACTAAAGCTTTAGGATTTAGCGCTAAACCCTATTCCTAAACACTAAAGCTTTAGGATTTAGCGCTAAACCCTATTCCTAAACACTAAAGCCTTAGGATTTAGCGCTAAACCCTATTCCTAAACACTAAAGCTTTAGGATTTAGCGCTAACCCCCTATTCCTAAACACTAAAGCTTTAGGATTTAGCGCTAAACCCTATTCCTAAACACTAAAGCTTTAGGATTTAGCGCTAAACCCTATTCCTAAACACTAAAGCTTTAGGAGCGCTAAACCCTATTCCTAGCTTTAGCTAAACCCTATTCCTAAACACTAAAGCTTTAGGATTTAGCGCTAAACCCTATTCCTAAACACTAAAGCTTACATTGCCAAAAATGCTCCTAAACACTAAAGCTTTAGGATTTAGGCCCTAAACGCTATTCCTAAACACTAAAGCTTTAGGATTTTGAGTACAGGTTTTTTGGCGCACCACAGGTTTTGGGGATTGATGTTAAATAGGGCAGTACTGCCGACGACCCAATGCTTAGCGGTGGCACAGCATACACCTTGGTGGGACAGTAGAGGCGCTGTTTAGGCATATTGCATGTGGCGATGCCTTCAAACGCCGAAAAGGCAGGGGAGGTGGCAGCGGTGGGCCGTCAGGGCCCACCGGCCTGCCCCCCCTGAGTTTAGGGTTTAGGGTTTAGGGTTTAGGGTTTAGGGTTTAGGGTTAGGAGGGTTTTTTAGGGTTTATTGGTTTAGGGTTTAGGGTTTAGGGTTTAGGGTTAGGGTTTAGGGTTTAGGGTTTAGGGTTTAGGGTTTAGGGTTTAGGGTTTAGGGTTTAGGGTTTAGGGTTTAGGGTTTAGGGTTAGGGTTTAGGGTTTAGGGTTTAGGGTTTAGGGTTCGCCAGCGCAGTGCTGGCGCCCTAAGCAATTCCGCTTTTGAGCACTTTGAAGCAATTTCTATTCCTATGGGAACACCCCTAGCTTTTAAACGGCGCCCCTAGCTTTTAAAAACGTTTCTAGCTTTTAAACGGCGCCCCTAGCTTTTAAAAACGTTTCTTTTGCTATGGGCACGCCCCTACCTTTCAAACGGCGCCCCTTGCTTTAAAACCGCCTTTGTTGACTTCCCGTTTTCACTTTTCCTGACCTGCCCCTGCCCCCCTGCCTCCTGCCCCCTTGCCCCCTCCTGCCCCTGCGCCCTTGCCCCTCTGCTTGCTGCCCTGCCCTACCCCGGCCCCGGCCCCCGCACCCCAGCCCCAGCCCCACCCTTGGTCTCTTCCTGGCCTCTTCCTGGCTTCT